AATTGCCATAATATTTCATTCATAAATTCTAAATCACAATCAAATAGGTCAGTTATTCTAAATTTAATATTTGATAAATCTTTTGAATGAAGAATAAATGAATTCCCGGATAATTGAAACGGATATGATAAAGAAAATATGTTTAAGTTGATGGATAAAATGTTTTGTATTGATGGGTAAGAGTTAGGGTCTAATGTTTGATGTGAAAATCTCATTGGGGTATTAACTTTATCACATTTGATTAAAATGAAATTAGAACCAGTGTCAGAATACAAAACATCCCCAACATCTTTTTCAAAATTTAATATCCCCAACAATGAACGAAGACGAGGAGTACAAAATTTAATTTTCAGCGGAAATTTAATAAGGTTATTTATTTCATCAAGTTCAAAAAGTTTATCAGGTTTTGATTTAAAATTTTCTTCATACCATACGATAAATGATTCATTTAAATAACTTAAAATCATGTTAATATCCCATTTCGTTATCACATTATTTATATACATATCATACGTTTTTTCGATGGTCATCTTTAATAAATGATATATAATCTGAAGGGTCTAAAAGAATGGGATTAAATTTACCACTCACAGAAACGAGAGTAACATTATAAATTCCGCTAACTGTTAAATTTAATTCACAGTTATTATTCGAAATAATATTGATAATTGACATTTTTTTATTACGATTAAAAATATGGTAAAGCGTTATTTTCCAGTGATAAATAAAACTAGAATAAGATTACCTCAAGAATTCATAAATTCAACGAATAAGAAATTCATTCATGTTATAAATTTTAGTGTTTTCAGAAAATATGAGTCGATGTCATATTCATCATCAGGTTATATTTCACTTCATTCAAATTTAGTTCAATCAAACCCATATAATGACCATTTCATAAGATTTTCAGATGGTATTAAAAATGTAATTGATAGATTAAAATATGAACAGATTGACAATATCGAATTTTTGGAATTTTGGTTTAAATATCCCGATGGAAAAAAGATTGAAGTTAAAGATAAAGCTGATACTATAACAAAAACAATTACAATGACCGATCCGGATAGTGGGGAACAAAAAGAAATAAAACAAACGATAGAAACTGGTGAAAGGTCAATTATTATCGATTATGATTCAAAGGATTATTATTCGATAATGTTAATGCTTGAATATTAAATAGCCTTAACAAAGAATTTTTCAAGTGATATTTTATATTCATCAACTATTTTATTATAAATATCATTATATGTTAAATGAAGTTCAGTTGTTGTTCCGTTCTTTGATATCTTAATTGTGCTAATATCCTTTATAGGATTTATTTTTGCAACTGTTCCGCAGCATGAAACCTCATCATCTATGAAAAATTGAATCTTCACGTCTGAATCTTGAACATCACAAAGAATGGCGATAATGTGAATTAATGATTCATAAGGTAAAATAATTAAACCGGATTGGTCAATTAAATTTATTATTGAATCATAATTATCAGTTATGATATCACGGTAAATTTTCATTAATTCAGAATTAATGTCTATTTTATATGGCGCATTGCGACTGTAATCGTAGATTCCTGGGTTCTCGATGTTTGATGAAAGAGGTGGGGGGTATGTTGGATAAGTGGGAATTTCAACAGGTTCTTTACCAGGTTCAGATAAAATGATTGGGTCTCCATTCTCATGGTTTTCTTCATTCTCCTCATTCTTCGGTAAGTCACGAGTTAATAAATTTGGTTGAGTTGCTGACCTTGTTAATTCAGGACTAACATTAACTTTAACATTTTGAATAATTCGTGATTTATCATCATTTACGTTATAACCAACCGTAATCTCTGCTTTTGCGTTAGTGTTCTTTTGACTAGTGAAACGTCTTCTCATTTATATTCGAATAAAAAAATATATTTAAACTTTTATTTTGCTGGAACTTTTGAATCTATTATTTCCTGTATTTGTTCATGAAGTTGATTTTTAGCATTTTCATCGAAATTAATAGACCGAATATATTCATTAATTGCATTCTTATAATCATTTGATTTCTCAAATTTTCTTTTATCTGATTCCTTAACTAAATCATAAGTTAAACCTCGTTGCTGATATAATGGTTTCTTAATTAAATCTTTGAATGCTTGAGATAAAGCACCTGATGCAATTCTTGCTACTATAATTGGTTGGAATTGCTGTTTAAGTTCATCTTTAACATTTGCGAAAACTGGATCGAATAAAGCAACTTTAAAGAATTTCTTAGCTGGAATTTCAGGTCTTAAATTTGCATATTGACCATCAAACTGGTTAGAATATCGTGGTAATCCATCCGGTCCCTCTTCAATAGCATTTAATTCTTCATTGAAGTAAGAATATGGATTATGACGGTATGAATTAATTGGACCATTTTCACCTTCTCCAATGTATTGTTTAACAGCTTTTCCATTTTCATCAAATTGCATAGGATAATGTTCATTATATGCTTTACGTTTAGGATAATCCGTCATTGTTAATTTATACCCATTTATGACTTTAATATTTCCTTGACCATCAGTAACGAAAACTTCATTTATTCCATCAGGTTTTCCATTTGGACCCGTAATGTCTGCTTCGTGTGCTTCCCAATTTGGTCCGTGACGTTTGGCATATGCTTGAGCTTCTGGTAATGTTAAAACGTTTCTCATTTGTTTAACATCCTTTTGAAGACCGGCAACAATGTGGACTAATTCTTTCATTCCGTCTGGAACTTTCATAGTTCTATTATATGCACCCTTTTTGTTTGTTCCTTGTTTTAATGGAACCTGTAGAAGATTTGCAATTTCTGTCATGTTTAATTATAAATAAAAAATAAAAATTAATTATAAAAAGTTATTCGAATTTAATGGAACCTTTATTTAAATCAACTATTATTTTTCCATGTTCTCCTAATTGTTGATATTGTGTGTAAAGTTCATTAATGCTCATTGGTAAATTCACTTGATAAAGCATAACGTTCAACTGTTGACGACTAAAACCACTGAAAATGAAAAGGGTGGACAGGTTTGATTTAATGTTTGTGCTTAATGCTTTAAAGTATTGAACAGCCATGAAGAATGAACACTGAATGTGTCGACATTGAGTTAATAATTGATTAAAATATGATTTCTCATTAGTTATTAGTTTTGATTTCACCGCATCATCTAGAAAAATGAGTGAATGCAAAAATTCTCTATCAAAATTTGAAATAGAAAGTGTTTCAAATAATTCATCCCGTTGTTTATCAATAATTTTATCCTCTAATCCTTGCTTCTTGATTGTATTATATAATTCTTTATACATTACAAAGTTTTTTAAATAATCTTCTGCTTCTTCTTGTGATAAATAAATAATTGGAATTTTGATTAAATGCTTTAAAGATTCAAATGTATCATCTGAAGGTGAACCTGAACGGTTGATATAAATTAACACATGTGAATAGGGTGAAGTGTTAGCAATAATGATAATTTGTTTTAATATCGTTAATGTTTTACCTTTATTTTGTTTACCAATTGCTGCAGTGATTGAATTTAAGTAACATTCAGAATATGGAATTTTCATTAATTTTTCCTTAGATAGAGCATTTCTATTATCACTCAATGCTTCATTAATCATATCATCTACGTATGTATTATATACTCCTGCTAATTCTTCATAAGGGGTGGATGAATTTAAATCCATTTAATCAAAAATAAATTTATAATTTTAAACATTTCTATTCATCAATATTTCATCATATGAACTTCTATACTGCGGTGGTGTACCTGTTGGATGATATTTCAAACCTTCATCCGGTGTCCATGTCCAATATGTAGTCCTAGTAAACCAAACCTGAGGAGGATTTGTCACTTTGAACAGTAAGTGTCATTTTCACCCTGAATGATTGGATAAGCTTTCACTTGTACTGTAACTTGTGAGTTGAAAGTTTCTAATCCATCAAAGAATATACCCGCTCCATCACGTTGAACTGGAATAGTGCATAAGAATGAAGTTTGGTCTTTCCATGTTCTAGCTAATGGTGTGCCATCATCATCATTCAGTGGTCTAGTTAATGAGTCCTCGTATTCTTCTGTGCATTCATTCACTCCATCTAAATCAGAAGCTTGAAGCATACGTGTAAAGAATATGTCACCCACTGTGGTCATCGCTTGATCGGGGAAGTTTCTGGAATCTATAGTGACCTGAAGACCTCGAAGCATTGGATTTTCTAAAACCGTTCTTTGCATTGCATTCTTCGGAAATGTTAACACAACATCTGTAACATTATGAAGAGCGTATGAGAAATCTGAGCTAATACCTTCAGGAGTGATGCAACCTCCATTTAGTGAACGAACGTCAATATGTTGAGCTGGAATCATGAATGGATCTTCCTTACTAAATAAACGTGGTATTGCTTTAACTGATTCTTCAATTAAACCGTATCCTGGTGTAATGCATTTATCCTCTAAAACTTCCATCTTTGTGCATGAAATAATAACGTCTTCAACTGTTGCGTCAGCAGATGTAGCGGCTAAGCTTGTAATTAATTTGGCAGGAAGTCCGATTTGTTGGAATTTGCGATCATATTTATAAACATGATTCATAATCTTTTCATAATTTTCATCAGTTATCTTTTCATAAACGTAATTTTGTAAATCAGCAACTCTTAACGGGTCAACCTGACAAAATACTAAAGTATCCCTGAAAACATAATATTTAAGAATGATTTCACCAAATGATTTAGGATAATCATCGAACGCCTGAAATGCTAACAAATCATTTACCGGAATAATCATATCAAAAGTGACATCAACTTCTTCATTTGCTTTCTTGAAAACTTCTGAAGGGTCAATATATTTACCACATACTGAGTTATCATATTTTTGAACATTATTATATAACGAATGAACAAACTTTTTAACTTTCCTTTCTGATTTTGGTTTATATGTTGCAAATGCGAAAGATTCACGGGCGCAATCCATCTGAAGATAACCAGCATCACCTCTTTCGGTTTCTACTTCTAATTGCTTAAAGCTTTGATTTGATGATTTGTAAACCAACGAATAAACGCATGCATTTAAAAGCGGCATCACATGTGAAAGCTTTATTTGAAACTAGAGTTGCTTTAACTTTGCGTTTAATATATGTGTCACCTAATTGGTTCACATCATGAGCCGGATTTGTAATTCTTAAATGAGTTTGTTTATCATCAAAATATGGAGCATCAGAGTCATAGCATGAACTTTCAAGTTCTCTATAATATCTTCTTCCATCATTCTTTGCGAATATTTCATTTATCTTTTCGAATGAATGAAATACATTTCCATTAATCGGTTTAGTGTTTGGCACTAAATAGTTAGTCGTCATTTATTATTAAATAAAAAATCAAAATTAAAAGATGAAAATGAATTTTTAATTTTAAT